TTGGACTTGACCTGGAAGTGTCATAAATAATCAAATTTAATTCTATTTTCACAGATTCAATGACAAAATCAACAGGAACTATGACAACACTTCACAAAGGTTAAAGACATCGCCTGAGGATACGTCAACTTCTTCTGGTGTACCATCTATGTTTGACACTCAAACATTAAGAGAATCAGATTCCAGGCTAGATTCCTCTGCTCACTTTCCCTCATCCCCTCCGTCTCTATCAGGACCGCTGTTGGTAAAGGTCTTGTCATCTGTACCGGGACAGCTGTTCTCAAACCTAAAAATAACTCCACAATCTGTTGTCCACTGCGAACACAAAGCAGCCCGATTGCAGCCGAGCAGCCATCTGGGGGAAAGCTGCCAAAACTGTTGAGCAGATCCACATATAAAATTTAAAGGGACCCCCAAGTCCAGACAAAAAGGGACGCCAACCGAACAAGGTCAATGATGAGAAAAAGGGTCTCTGAACACCGAGCTGTTACGCTGCGTTTTAAGGATGATGAAACACAGTCGCTGGAGAACAACGTCTACAGATCTATTTGTCAATAAAGAGAAATAGCAATGTATTGTTTGAAACTGAACATCTTTAGGTTTGGGAGAGAACAAAAAACATACATTTTACTGTCAGTGTAAAGGCTCTGAGAACTTGCACTTAAGGTTTATTTTTGGGCTTTTTTATGCCTTTATTATAGAGTTGGAAATCAGGGAGAGAGAGAGAGTTGGGAATGACATGTGGAAAAGGAGCCACAGGTCGGATTCAAACCTGGGCGGCCAGCTTGGATGACTACAGCCTCCATACATTGGGACACATGCACTACCCACTGCGCTACCAACATTTTTGACATGCCCTCTTTATGAACTTTTACCTTTTGGGCATTTTAGAAACCTGATTTTAAACCTCCCAACCTCTGTTTGTAACTGTTTTACATAAGTGTGTTTATTAATTGCAGTTTTGTACTCGCTCAATTATCTTAGTACATTTTAGACTTTTGTAGACTGATTTTAGCAGTCTTGTATTTATCTGCCCCCTGTTTTTCTTTTTGATTTAAAGTCTGTTTTCTAATTATTTCTGTAATGACTCGATGTCGTTGTAAATGAGGGTTGCCCCTCAATGATCTTTCGAGTATAAATAAAGGTTGAATGAATGTAATAATGACACATTGTGAAGGTGTGCTATCTAGACCTAGTCGACCCCAAGAGAGGGATTTTATATCAAGGGATTTTCTTAAGTTGAATAAAGGTGAAGAAAAATTGTAACTTGTGTACATGTCCATGTGGAAAGGGACATACAGGAAGAAAAATAACTTATACTCTGCCAGCAGGGGGCTCTCTAACAAAACAATAACAAAAGATGACGTCAACGTCTCGGTGTACAGCTCGTTCACCTCTTGATGAAAGAAAAAAAGATCAACTCTTCCTTCATGTTTCACTTTGCACAAAAGGAAGACTGACAGTTTGCCCCGTTTCGCTGTATGCACTTCTGCACATTTTTTACTCTCTTCTTCAGCCCTTCAAAGGCTTACTTTGACTTTCAAAGCAGATTTTCAGATCAAAACAAAATGCTCTCGCCCAAGCCTACCCCCCCTCCCCTCTCGTCTCCACACTTCCCCCCCTGCCCCTTCTGTTTCTCGAGCCGGGACAGAGACGGCAAGCAGAGCGTTTGAAACCTGATTCTGTGATCACTTTTAAGTAATGATCTGAAAGTTGATTCAGTGATGTGTTTGTCGTTTTAGCCTAGAGAACGTTATTTTTTCTGTTTGGAAAGTTTGCTGGTCCTTCTTCTGTCGCACTCTTGTGACAACACTCTTCACTTTTAATGCACCTGGACACAGCGTCCCAGAGTGCGTGGGGCTGTCACTCTTCCCCCATGTGGTGACAGGGCTAGCGGTTTGACAGGGAGGGGTGCACTCGATAAAAAAACAAAACATGTATGAGACATGTTTGAGCCTCTGAGCGGAACATCAAAAAGCTGAAGGAAGCGCCGTCCAATCTATGTGAACAAAAAGCCAAGGGAGCTTTATTCACTCTCTTAGCAGGAAGTCTGTACATATCTACAAGGGATTTTTCTTATGAAGCCAAATTAGTATTCACAATGTTGCATTATTATACCTTTAAGTATCATAAAAAACTCAAATTAAGTCCATCTTTTATTGCGCTTTAAAACTAATTCAGATTAATTCGATCATTTGAAATGAAAGTCTTCCAACGTAGTCATGCAGGATGGGTGTAATAAAAAGTTGGGACTTAAAAAAAGCAGTCTGGGGCGACCAATTCTTCTGAAGCACTTCTTAATGCACTTTTATTGAGTCAGGAACGGTTCGCTGCTCCTCAGAAGTGCCCCTTTTTCAAACCTCAAATCCATACTTTGAGGTCTATTTCTTCTCAGGTAGCAATTTTGGGGCATGGCTTCTCTGTGACTGACCCGCTCTGAAACTCTGACTAACCTGAATGGAAATAGTCCGTTACAAAAACAGACATTTGGTTCAATACTATGAACGAAGGGCACTTTGTCCTTGCAGCTCAGCTCACAACACTGAGAATACAAAGGAGCCCAGGTGGGTTCTGGGTAAGGCAGTTTTTTTTTTTTTTTTTTTGATCGCTCTTTCCACAGGGTAAAGCATAGCTGATGAGAAACAGTCAATTATTTAGACTCATCATTCAGAGTCTGTGCAGTGTCTTTGAGGCCAGAGCCAGCGGCCCGAAGAGGCAGTCAAACTCACTCTACAGAATCAGAATCAGAAATACTTTATTAATCCCAAGGGGAAACTCAGTGTTACAATTGCTCTTCACACAATACACCAGTAGGAAATAAAATAAAATAGAGATAATAAAATAAGCAATAAGTACCAAGTAGGGCTACAATAATAGGATATATACAAGATAAAGGAAGCTGCTGAATGTTTCATTACAGCTCAAAGATTTTGGCTTTATTTAACCGAAGATCGAGCAAAACATAAGAAAAGGTTTTTGGCTATAAAGATATGTTTTTTAAGCGAGTAATATCAAAGACAAAAACCTGAAAATAGGTTAAAGATCTTCAAAGACTGATAAAGAAAGAGTCTTATTCCAGGTTCTTTGCCAACAAAGCTTTTTTTTTATGTGAGGTATCTTTAAGGCAGCAAACGGAGGCATGTGATGAGGTCTCATGCAGAAACTTTAGCCATATTCAGACGGCCGTTTCAAGCCCTGATATTTACGCTTCGCCTTCAGTCTGAATGCAGCGGAGCCGTAATCGGAGGACAAAGTAATCACCTCTTTGTTCTGCACCTTGAGACTAGAAACCTCGGTCCAGACTCCAGAGGGAAGAAGATGAAGAGCATGGTGCAAAGGGTGAGAATCATCGTTGCAAAATCGAGGTAGCTCGCTATCCGCTGCAACTTACCCGCCATGTGACAGATAGCCATGCAACATTCATTTGCCAAACATAAACTGTGTCTGCATTAGGTGCTTGATGGTCTTCATTTCAGACCCTGTGTATGGATGTCTTCATTTGCAGTGACTTTAAGAACGGGAGGCTGAAGCCTACAGTTATCTGACAAATCGGATAAATCAGTGCGAGGAGAAGGAGACATTTTAGGAGGAGAATTTTGTTAGGGCAGTAAAGTTTAAGATAAAGGTCAGGTTAGGTCAGTGCTCCTTTCTTGTCAGTGTACTTTAAAAAATAAACAAAAATCCTTACTGCTGTGTTTCTATTCCCCTGAGCGGGCGACACGGGCAAACGGGGAAATGAGTTTGCAAAGCTGCAAGTGTAAACAAATGGACCAGAGATTACAGATCAGCATTGTTCCTATTTCGCTTCCATACAGTAAGCGGCTCGTCCCCGGAGGAGATAAAAAGGGAAAAGTTCATTTATTGCCAAATTATTTCCTCGTTCTGTAACGGCATAAGCAAGGACGGGAAAGGGAGGCTGGGAGATTATACGGGAGGAGATCAGCACATCTATCACTGTCGCCGCGCAAAGTTAAAGCTCGAGACGAAATCACAGAGTCTGGCTCGCTTAAGTCTTCAAGGACACACACACACACACACACACACAGACGACGGACTGCAGAGGTGGGTGTGTTCGGGGGGAAGTTTAAGGAAGGGAGGGACTCAGAGGACGTAGGGAAGTTATCAGAGCTGCAGCCAGCAGAAAGGCAGCCATGGTACACTGGTTTATTGGACCCACTGGTATAACGGACACAGCCAATTAATTAGATTAAAAAATATCTTATCCACCTGTTCAAATGTATTATTTAACCCAGTGGTTCCCAAAGCGGGGGTCGGGACCCCCTGCAGGGTCGCGGGACACTGAGAGAGGGGTTGCAAGATTCTGTCCAAAAACACATAAAAAATGTAAAATAGCATATCTTATCCATTATTGTGAAAATATAAACAAAAACTTAGTTCAAGAGATTAGGTGTGTTCTGCTTCTAGTGTTTCTGTTTGGGCTGTTGTGTTATTCTATGTTCTTCTAATGCCAGTATTTGGATTGGCCTAGTAAATGTTTTAACCACCTCCAGGGACAATAGGGGTCCCCAGTTGCTAGCACCATTATTTTGGGGGTCACGGGCTGAACAGTTTGGGAACCGCTGATTTAAACAAATGTAGGATTTGGTCTTATATATATATATATATATATATATATATTTGTTATTTAACCAGCCGTAAAGCCTCATCAGATAAGAATCTCCTCTTTAAATATTGATCCAGCAAAGCGAGAACTCAGATCCTCAGTGATCTGATAAATGACATGAGCTCATGTTAGCTCAGCTCACAGTTGTCCAGACATCAGCTGTCCACAAGGAATTGGATATTTAATATTTTAAAGAGCTTTATTTAGTGTTTTTACTGGTTTGAATGATCAGGTCTGGTTGTTTATTCATTTGGTTTGTGGTAAAAACCTCATGAATATGAAAATGTAAGTTTCATTTTGATAGGAGCAGTGGACTTTAAGAAGGAAGCCCGTCACCGCTCTGATCATTGAGATCCATTTAGAAAACAAAACTTACTAGAAACACCCGGTACGCATCCTTCCTTGTGACTGAACCCCAGCACGGGTCTGTGTCGTTGTACTTCACACTTCCAGCGCTGCAGGAGTGGTTTCCACTGCACAGGGAGAAAAACAGAAACAAACACCAAATCATGATTACCTTAAAGCTCTGATGCACACTGCAGCTCATCAACCATGCTCTTTAAAAGTCACACTTTAGACTCTCCCTACATGGCTTATCATGTAAAATGGCGTTCAAATGGATGAGTCAGAATCAGAGGTTGAGAGTATTTCTTAGAGGTAATATCACACACCCCATCATTGTAAAGCATGACAGAAGAAGCTTTAGTCATCCGGCTCCGCTCATGCTACTTAGAAGTCTTTGGCTCTCGTGCCTTCGGGCAAAGCAAACTGCTTTTGAATTCTCAGTTACATCTCACACTTGTTCTTTGCTGGAAGGTTAGCGAGCGTTGGACCACAGTGGGGGGAGAATTTAATACGATAAGACGGCGTCAGTTTGCCGCGCCTCGGGACAGGATGAGGAAAAAGGCTTTCTTTGTCACAACAACAATTAAAAGGAGACTAAGAGGAAGACTTTACACTGGGATGCTTTTGAGCTGAAGTATCCACTTTGAAATTGATTTCTTCTACATTCACACAATGGAAGAGGCAGGATAGTAGTAAAAAAAAAAAGCTTTAATGACTAAAAGCTGCATGTCGCTCAATGAGGCTGCATCAGAGCTGAGATCAGCCCAACAACATAAACATTGAAACATTAGGACTCTAATAAAGTCCTGCTTTTTTGTGGAGGGGGAAAAATAAGCTTTCAAAAAACTCAAAAGTCAACTTCTTGCACATTTAGCATTTAGCAAGGTTAGATAAGCAATGTTTTTTTTACCTATTTATGGTACTTTTAGCTATTTATGACCTAATGTGAGTGTTAGTGTGAATGTTTGTATGTTTTCATGTTGAGCCTCAACAAAAGGTCATTTGTGATAGACAATAAAGTTTTTTGAATCTTGAATCTTTAGATTCTAAAAACTGAAGTCATTTATGGAGCAATAGTGGCTGTGTGTTAAAAAACTTTCTCTTCAACTTTGTTTTTTAAAAACAGTTTGAAACGACCAGAAACTTTATATTAGCCATCGTTCTGAAATCATGGCACTTAAACAATACTAAAAATGGAGAGGCCATTTTTGTGGTCCAAGATCTGAAGGGCAGAGTCTGTAACTATATGAAATACCTCATTCTCACCCCGTGCTGCCAAAGGACTTCCAATAAAAATCTATCTGGAAGCGAGTCAACACCGCTCAGACGCCAAGAGCTCCCCGTAAGAGGTCAGCCTCTGTCACTAGAGCTTTATTGTCTTAATCTGGAGTTCAGGAGGTGACAACAGGACCAAAGTAGGGGGGGGGGGGCAGAGGAGTCAATGAAATGAAGACTGAGGAGCTGCATCTCGCCAAGACGGAAAGTGGCAAATGTTCTTCAAAGAGAACATCCATTAAATCTATTTTTATTCAAGTTTAATTTCACACTTGAACTCAGAACGAGTGTGATGAAGTCAGTCTTACCAAGCCACTTCCATTAGAGAGATGGGCACGGCTGCTGCATAGATGGCCAGGTCTCCATACAGGTAGACTATGATGCAGATGTAAAACATATTCAATCCAACTGAAAGACAAAAACAATGAAGAAAAAACAGTTAGAAATAACTGAGATGTTTGTGTCACTGTGGAGAAAAATCAACAGATCCTTAAAAGGGGAATTCTGTTTTGGAATATTTACCTATTTTCAGGTCAGAAGGAAAAGAAGAGATGGCTGAAATGACGCCAACATATTTTAAGTATCTGACAGTAAAAGCTAAGACCCTATGGTTTATCAGTAAGAAGCTTTTTGTGTAGCCAGAAGTGTTGTAGTACTTGAATTCGTTCTCGATCTCGAGACCACTTTTTGAAGGTCTCGGTCTCGTCTCTGAATCCAAAGCATCTTTACTCTGTCTTTACAGTCTTAACAGTTTACAGCTTTCACTTTCACCCCAAAAGAGACATTCAGGTTACTTTATTAGTTTGATCTTGTCAAATGTTATTGATTCAAAAAACGCTAAACTTGTTTCAAGTCATTTGTAGTTTTTTTTTAAGAAGCCCTAGTTCAATAAAATTATCTTGTCTCAACTATGATGTCCTTCTCTTTAGTGCCACTTTGTGTAATTGTGTCACCTGGAATAAGAATCTGAGCCTTAAGGGGGGAAAACACCTTTTAGTGGTGGTGCTTTCATCAGGTGCATTTGGTCTCCATGTTTATGTTGAAGCTCACTTTTGTGTTGTCCTGTTAGAGCGGATGACTCAAGTCATTCTGAATTGTCAGTAAGCACCTCGACTTTTGTTTGAAGGAGAATAAGGGGCTTAGGTTTCAAATCAAATGAATTCCCTTTAAAAAGGTTAGAAAAAAAAAAAAAAAAAGAGTTTTTTTATCCGAACACCTCACCCCAAAATATTTGTGATGGAGCGTTCATGTCAAACTTTACAGCTTTGGTGTGATCTCTATTAAAATGCACTCTCATCCACACCTCCTCTCCTTTCATCCCTCCATCCCTTTTCTGGGACAGCAGCCTGCGCGGCATAAGCACATCCTATTGGTCCAATGAAAAAATATTTATAGCATTAATTAAAAAACTAATCAGCCCATGAAGGAAAATTTTGCTCATCAGCCTTTACTTTCCGACGGTGACTAGCTCTTCCAACGTCTCACTTTTTCCTCTTCACCCACACACACAGTCGTCTGGAAAGGCTACGACCCCCGTCCGGGCATGGCCGCCTTTTGCCAAGACAAGATCGAGAGCTTTTAACCAGCAGACGGATCCTCCCAGAGCACCGAACATCCATCACGCTCTTGAATTCTCAGAGGGAGGTTCAAACATCCAACTGGACCCCTCAGCTAATACATTACTGACAAGGAAATTAGAGCATGGAGTCCATTAAAAAAGGAGTAAAAGGAGACAGATTTACAGCTTCACAGGGTGGACTAACTCTTTTATGAATTAAGGGCCGAGGTTAGCCTATCATTCAGTTACATTAAACTGAGATAGAAGTTAAAAACACAAGGAACAAAGCCTATGAACTACATGTCATCTAGTTGTAAAAGAAAATATGAAGAGAGGAGGCACGCAGTCGAGGGCGCCAGTCCAAAGACGAGATGGACCGCATGGCCACAAAGGGGCTGTAAGACTCCAGAAATCATGTTGATTGAAAACAGTGATCGATGAGTCAGACAAAATTGATCATAATTCAGCAACCTTGCTATACTTCACTGGCTTCCCATTTTGGCCAGATAACAGACCTGGTGGTGTTTTTGAATGGTCTTGCATCCCGCCCTCATTTTCCCCTGAGATGGGAACTCTTAGCCTGAGTGGCCTGCGGTGCTGTGCATTCTGGGATTTGGTGTCTTTCATCAACATGAGCCAAAACTACACTTTCTGCCTTTTCTCGGCCAAGAAGGCACCAACTTCAAAATGTATTTCACATTTCTACATATATGACCCAATGTCAATCCAGATTCATGTTTCAACGGGTGAAGTCTCCCTTTAAGGTGATGAACTGATGACTTAATAAATTGTAAATGTTCTTGCCTCTTCTTAACCTCTCTGTCCTTATGCATACTTAAACCTCCTTCTTGTGCCCTACACTCACAGAATACATGCTAATGTCTGTACCAATAGTTGATGCAGAACTTGAATGATGCAATACGATTTTAAATATAGTCCAAGTTCACACTGTAAAGACTCGTGGATTATGGTTAAGGAAAAAGCAGAATTCTGTTTTCAATCGTCTTTCTCACATCGTCAGCCCATGAAACAAATCCTTCTCCCGCTGCATAATGTCTCCTGTGGCGTGACGCTGGACGACTCATATTAGCGTCCCAGTGGCAGATCGCCGAAACAGAACGTACTGTACTCTGCCGTCGCTGTCGGTAAGCGATAGCCGAGGCGAGGGCTCTGCATGACCACGGGGATGCAGGCCTTCACGGCTGTGTAACTAATATTTCCCAATTACTCTGAGCCACGGGGCGAATCAGGGGCCCGGTCTTCCATGTAGCTGTGAAACGCATCGCTTTCATCATCGCTCGTGCTCCTGACTGACAGCGGACCTGACAACATCCTCTGTGTGCAGTGCAGCTGTGGGAAAAAGCAGCCATGGTTGCGTACAGTGCATGACATGGGAAGGCTCTCGTTCACCATATAAAGGTTTAACACTGGGGATTAAATTTGTTTTCAGGAAATCAGGTCAGAAAATAACTCATCAGAAGACGCCCATGAAAAGAAAGAAGGAGGACAGTGAATCTTAACCCTGAATTTCACCTCATTAATCTGCCTCTCTTTATATTCAGATTCCACTCCTTTGGTGAGTCACAGAGGGAAATTGTGATGAAGTGCGATGACAGATTTTCAATCTAAACTGAGCCGGCCTCGGAGGCAACAACACCATTAACAGTAAATAGGACAGAGCAGGTTAGGAAAATGGCTAATTTAGGTCCACCTTGTCAACACCTCAGACTGATTATGCAGTCAGTACAGTAACAATAAGAAACAATAACAATACATACATGTGATAGGCCCTGCTCAGTCAACATGGGTCTTCTTTGGTTTCTAACATGACAGCACTGTGTTTCAGAAACCTTCAGTGGGCATCAAAGTCTCCAAAAACAAACTTAATGTTGCCTTGCCGTCGACCAGTAATGATAACCAAATGATCTACCAGTCAGGCGTGTTTCTGATTTTGATTTCCATGTATTGATCTTTTTTTTTCTTCAGACTTTGAGCACAAATGACCGAGCCATAAAAAGATTTATTCTGACAAAATGCTGATTGAAGACTCTCAGGGCGGCAGTGGCTCAGTCTGTGGGACATAAGGGTGGGAACCATGAGTTCAAGTCCCACTACAAACCTTACTAAGAAAGAAAATTGGGACTGGTTCATTCTCTGGGATCTGTAGAGGTGCTCTTGAGCAAGGCACCAAGCCCCCAACCGCTCGAGCACTCATCTGTGTGCAACCCACTCACTCTGACGTCTCTCCTTTGATGCATGTTAGCATCCTGTTTGTGCATGTTTTAAATAATAAGAGAGTGAAACATTTTCCCTCTGGGACTAATAAAGTATATCTGAATGTGAACGTTATCTGGTTTCTACTAATCATGCAAAGAAAGCTTGAACCCAGATGTGAAGTTCCTGCAAATCCATTTACACAATCTGATCCATGAAGTCCCTTTGACACATGAGCTGCAGACAATGTGAGGTCGTTTAGGTCCTGTTATTTTCTGGAATTTCCTTTAACATATACAGAATAATGTATGAAACAGACCCTCTCACAATAAGAAAAAACAGACGAGAGGAGTCTTTGTGTCTGGGTTAAAATCATGACAACATGTTGAAGGAGGTTTCTGTAACAGAAGAGCACACACAGCTGAGGTGACAAGTGAAGAGTATAAAGCAGAAAAACTCTGCTCGGCTTGAACTATGTCATCATCCCACCCACTCACTCCGAGAACCATCACCTGCTGTGTTCACACATCGGCTCACCCTGAGTAAGCGTGGAGGTTTCACCGAGGGGTTGGCAGGAACAAGTCTGCATCAAGTCGGGGTGAATGAATTCAGACATTGTAGTCATTCTTAAAAATGTGTGAGAATTTTCAGGAGTTCAGCACATTTTTCCTCTCTCCCACTGGTGCTTCTAACCATCAGTAAACAAAGAGGAGAGAGTCAAAACAGCCCTCACTTGGTTCTGTCTTGAGTAACAAATAAAGCTTTCATGGAGTGAGCTTCTCCCCTCGGACTCAACTTGTCATATCGATCTGTCGGCTTGATCACAGTCGGCCCGTTACAACCCTGAAATTAAAGTGCATCTCTTACCACGCTGACACAGGAAGCTATAGTAGCAGTGGCTCATGGAAAATGATTGTGCTGCAGGCTTTAACAAACATGTCCATTAATCTTCCCCGCTGGCTCAGGCTCTCTTAGTTTTCATTTTCATTTGCTCTCAATGCTCAAGTTTGACATTTAAGTAAAAAGCCACTGAAGTGTTAAAAAATGGATGTGACCATGTTTGGCTCTCATTAAAAAACAGAAGCCAGTGAAGATGAATTACTATTCTCCACCACGGTCCTCTGTGTGTCAGCGGGACGACGCCTCACGTCAGAGAAACAATCTTCGCTGTTTGCACATGTTAACCTGCCGCTTCACGTCACAGAGGCTGAGGGGAGAGCCGAGGCAAGATGCTGATGCAAGGACGGCGCTCTTTTCAGTCCATCTCTCTTTGTGACTTTAGCCAAAGTTGTCTTCTAATCAACTTTCAAATCGTCGATGTGAAGGTTGTCGTCACACCTTTTCCTCGCTGGTGCAGATAAACCGGCCCCCATCAACATTCCTGTCAGCAGCTGCAGGTCAGCCCGATACGATACCCATGGCCTTCTTCCAAGCCCGCCTTCACTCCGCTGCTGCTGCTGCTGCTGCTGCTGCTGCTGCCGCGTCAATTTCAGTCCAGGAGGAAGTCAAATGCCCTCTAAGAGTGTCTCTTCAACAGCAGGAGAGAAACATTTTAATTGCCTGTTAAAGTTGCAGGACAGAAAGACGCGCGCGCGTCTGGTTTATGATCCGAGAGGAGTGTGAAGGTGTGTTAAAACTGTTTTTAACACCCTTTAATGCAATAGTCTCTTGCGTGTTATTGAGCTCCTTGAACGCTCAAACAAAGAGCTGAGCACCTGGTCTGTTTTGTTTTGGGCTGATTTTCTACAGTGTTTTCAGAAAAACCTCCTCAATCAGGAAGTTTTCAGGATGAGGCGCATGTGGGAACGCAAAGAGCCGGAGTTTCTCCTGTCAGCCGCCCCGGTATTCTTTCCACAGATTGTCAGGTCAGGATATAACCAGGAGAATTCACTTTGAGTGAGTGGGACGGGGTGTACTGGTGCCTATCAGTGCACAACCGTATACTGTATGCATTTGACCGGTGCCATCTCTGTGCATGTAATCAAACTGCTGCATTATGTTTTCTGTTTTCCAGTATGTTGTACTATGCTCTTTTGTTGATATTGTGATTCTGTCAAACTACACATAGCCTTGATATAAAGGTAAAAACTTAATATATTCTTATATCTTATATCCTCTTCCCATCTGACCAGGACGGCCTCCCCGCTGTGTGAGGGTGCATGTGTAAACAACCAGATCAGGAGGATTTCAGGGGAAGTCCTCCTAAAAATTCTCTCTAGTGAAAACACCCTAAAGAAACAAGACACTGCTGTTTATCTGATGCTGTTTATCTGTTCCTTCACATCCATAATCCTTTTCACTTTAGTGTTTTATTTCCTGGATTGGATAGAATTGATTTGTGTCCTAACAGCCCGCACACGCCGCCCCCCCCCCCCCCCCCCCCTCCTTTTAGAAGAGGACTAAACTTTGCAGTTTCATACTCAGCCGTCTAAATACAGACAAATAATTTGTAATGGCCAGAATGTGATCGTTTTTAGATTAAGATTTCTCTAAGTTTGAAAAGAGACAAATGTTTTAACATATATTCTGTAGGAATTTTAATGCCGCAAAGTCACATACCATTCCTTAAAAGGTTGTAAAGCATGAATGCACATTAAGCGAGAGGTAGGGGCGGAATGAAGAATCCAAAGCTATTGTTGCATCATGAATTTCTCTGCTGATTCATGATTATTGAATGCTATGCAAAATTTTAAAAAGTATTTTTGAGGGTCTGGGACAACTAAGAATTGTGTTTTCTTTACTAAACAATCAGCTGCTATCTTGTGCTCCAAAGTATACTATTACTGCACACAATATGACTTTTTGCAAGTGCTTGTCTTCACCTTTAAAAAGTCTCCCTTCAACTTTTAGAGCAGCCGTCTGCAACACTTTTGATTTGTGATGAGGTTGGACAACATGAAAATCTTTGAAACTCATCTTCACTGAGTGTAAAACATCACAGACACTTACAGTAAGTTCAGCGTAGCAGGCAACTTGTGCAGTGTTTTTTTTTTTTTTTAATAAGTTTTGGTACCTACTCTGTTTCATTCAGTTGTGGACAAACAGAGGGCTATCACACATCGCAAGGATCTAAATATCAGGAAAAAAAAACGAGCAGGTATTTTCTGTCAGGAGAGACAAAAAAGCTCCGTCTCCCTTTTCCTCGTCCAGCATGTGCTGGGACTCGTGCCTATTGAATTCATTCCTGATTAGAGTCACCAGGCAGCTTTCCCCGTAGCGTGTGGAGAGAGCGGCGAGGAGAGAAAACTAATTTCCTTATTACCAATCGATACCTCCACGTGCTCCACCTGCACAGCTTCATGGTGAGAGAGGAGGTCATGAGCACAGTTTTTTTTTTTTTTTTTAAACACTTCACATTCACGAGCAGGACGGACGCTCTGAGTGACAGGAGGAGGCTGAATGGACGGGAGCACACTGCAGCTTTAACAGCAGGAGCTGCATGACGGCATGCATGAGTGCGTTCACACGTGTGGGTGTGAACACGAGCCGCGTGGACTCGTGCAGCGACGTTGCGCGTGTGCCGAGTGCACCACCTAGTGTTGAAAAGGCTGACGGACTGGAGGTGTCAGCAGAGATGATGTTGTCAGAGCTTTGACCCTTTTTGTTGTTCTCTTACTCCTGCGACAACAGGGACGCCGCAGACGGTTGAGTCACCCGCATCTGCTTAAGGGGAGCCGCCGGGAGTAGTGATAGCGGACTCGAGGAGAGGGAGGGGGGCGATGAGGAGAAGGAGGACATGCTGCTTAAAAGTCACGACCAGGACGATGTACTGATATGAATAAGAAATGTGAAGCCGGGAGCTTTTTCTGTTTGATTCAAGGTGAATTCAATTTAGCTAACACAGGCTTCATTAGATCGCAAATCATTCAGGATGACGCCTTACAGTCCGGTACAGGTTGTGCCCCCTCACTCACACACATACATACACACACACACACACACACACACACACACACAGTAAGGAGATTAAGCACCTTGATGGGGTCTCGAACAGGTAATTACAACCAAAGGCAATTTATCCATATATAATTACTTCCAATTAAGGAGCCATCAGCCTTCCTTTTGTGAAAGTTAAGATTGGACAGAAAAGGTGTAAAAATCATCCCACACAACCTTCACTCCTCCTACACGCTGTGTGTCTGCAGCTAATGGAATAACTGGAAGTGAGATTAGGTGCTGGAGGACAGGAGACTATTACCTTTATTGAAGAACATGGAGGCCATCTGACCCATCTCCACCCGCTCCACGATGTCGAAATGATCAACGTGACCTCCGGATCGCTCTGTGAAAAACACAAAGACATTATCTACAGTCAAAGTTATGTACAGCGGAGGAGGTCGAATGTTAAACAGAGCCTGATGTTTTTTGATTTATTTCGGTGTCTTGATTTCTTACGTAAGCTCAGAGCTCTCTAGGTCCTGCTTTCTCACACTTCTTCTGTGTAAAAAAGTGCTGCACATCAGTTCTGTCTCTATGACAACAGTTTGACGACAACGGCCGCTGCATGACCGACAATGTTGCTTTTTACAGCACGTTTTTTCATTTGAGGATTTTATTACTTCAGCAGACACGCAGCAAAGAGGATGGGCTGCAAAAATACAGGGAATCTCTCGTATTTTGAAAAGAGCGCCTTTCTTAAAATTTGAAAGATTTTCTACTTGAGCGCTGAGTCGCCGCACAAAATAGGCGGTAGCGCTCGGAAATAAGACCCTGGACGCTGCTCTCTTTCTCCGGCAGCCGCCTTCTGCTGCACACGCTCTCTACTCAAAACAATTTATAAAAAGATGCTGGTGCTCAGAAAAAAAATGCTAGGTGGAAACGGGACCTTAGGGAAGATCTGCTACTATCTGATACTTAGAAGTTGTGTATGTGTATATGTATAGAGATTGAAAAAGGAGTAGGATTAGGGTTTGCATATGCTGCATCACAGCAATAATTTAAAAAATGTTTGTTTTAATTTGAGGTTTGTTGTGAAAAAAAGAAACGGTCATGTTTTAATTAAGGTTGTAAGGGTCAATTTCTGTACTGCAAATATGGGCATGCTTCAGTGTATTTTAGGGTCCCAATTTTAATCCAAAGACATTTCTTCTCTAAGAATTTGTCAGGCAATGATCTGTTGATAAACCAGCATGTACCAGTGACCGGTCCAGTATAGCAGAACCTTGTGTTGACGATGCTACTTGCACTGTTAACAGGAACAAAGCCATGATAACATGAACACTTGTAATACTCACGGTACTTACGGATAGACAAGATAGGCTTGGTCTCCGGCTCCGATCGACCTCGGCCCATGACATCATCATCCGAGTACTCCGACGTGGAGTCGCTGTCATCGACCTGTGAGAAGAGAACACGAGCGGTGTGAGGCTCGCTCTAATTTCTGAACGTCGACAAACATTCAGTTAACAAGTGATTTAAAACGCAGCGTTTTAAATCGAAACATCTGGAAATAACGAGAGACAGCTGGGGATCACTTTGGAGAACTTCGGAATTCGCACCGATCGCTTTATTAACTGAACTCTCTGCAGATTAATGTCAATCAGCTGTCGATGATAGTCAACTTTGCGAGTGTCATCGGCTGAATTAATGGTTGACGAGCTGGCGGGAGTCCAGGGAGGTAGAGGAGATGAGAAGCGACAGGAGCTCATTTATCCAACACCAACAACAAACACAAACCACCCGGCAAAACAGCAGAATAACGAGTGCAGACCTGGAGGACGGTTGGCACAGTGTTCGAGCTTTAAGGCGGCGAAAACAACACGTTTGATGCTAAACAAGCAGCGACTTGATAGTAAAGTGTTAAAGTGTTTCTACAGCAGAGTACACAGACAGAAGGAGCATTCCCTCTCTGTTGGATCTATTTCACACCTCATACACTCCAGTGAGGCTTTCTCTGAAAACATATATGATGCATAGCTGGGTGTGCCTTTACTTTCATAAATGTACCTCACTCTAGCAGAGAGAAATAAAAAGCATTCAGCTGCAAACATTTCCAGCTTCCTCCCTCCTCTTGCTTTCCATTACGTAGGAGTGAAAAAGGCGGCGAGGAGAACAGGAGCCATGAATCAGGGCCGAGTGTTTTTTTTCGGGGGGCTCCGTTAGAGCCGGGGCTATTGTCCTCAGGCTCATAACTCCTCGAGTGGAAACACATGAAATGACTTCTGTACCGCGGGGACAAACACAAAGCAAAAAAGGCCGAGCCATTTAAAGTGCACAGAGTTGTTTTCTTTAGTCAAAGTAAAAAAAATAATAATAATAAATGATGGAGGAGCGGGACGGTAATGGAGTACAGTGTGTTTGCAACGGTTTCTAATAGATGGAGGGGAGGAGACGCATTTTCACTTCTGCTCTGATTGGACCATAAAACAACAGCAGCCGCCGCCTTCTGAATAAAAAATACAGCTCGGTGATAAAATGAGAAATCTTTGGCCGGGTTTAAAAGAGAAAATATTTTATGCTGTTCATTATTTTCATGGGTCACAAATATATAAAACTTCATCATCAACGCTGAGAGAGGTTCCTTAGTTTACTGTGACACTTAAAAAATCCTGAGACGTTTGTAATACGCTTCAAGGTGTTTAGTCTAAACACCTCACTGGCCCTCAGGTGTGTCATTCCCCGATGAGGCCACACAGGGGTGCCAGTGTGCATCTCTGTTTGTTGTCTCTGACATACTCATCTGGTGTTTGTTTGTAAATGTTTGTATGGTGGTGGACTGAGGAACCCAATGACCCTCTGGGATGAATAAACTTTTCTTTGTCTTAATATTTAAGGTCTGCTTCTAACAATTACTTTCTCAGCTGATAGCTGTCTTGATTAATCCAGTCTTTGTTTGGTCTGTCAATCAAAGATGTCAATCAGAGTTTCCCCAAAACCAAAGATTATGTCCTCACGTCTTTAGTCCACAAAGCACGGACATTAACTTAACTGTTATTAAAGCGACAACCACAGCTTCTTGCCAAACTTACAAAGTGCTATAAGCAGGTGACCGGACCGATCTGTTGACATGAGAGAGACGACATTCCCCACTGTTGAAAGTTGTTGTTATTTCAGCTTATTCTTATTCCTTTCTCCTTCATTTGTTTGTCTCTTGTTGTCTCTCCCAGTATGTTGCAGTATGTTGTATTGAGCACACAGCCAGTGCTTCTGTTGAGTCTAAATCTGTACTACGATAGGGTTTGTATTTGGTCTATTTTTGAACAAAGTCCAAGAAATGTCATTGATCTGTCTTTCTGTTTGTCTCCTCGTGAGCACGATGTCACTCACAACAGCTAAAATAACTCCTGATTTGTGTTTATTTTGAGACACATTATTTCTCCAGTATATCTGTGTACATAAAAACATGAAGTCTATTTGGCTTGCAGCTTTCTTAACATGTCAGAATAAGAGCAGCGAGCACATTAAACCACAGCTAAGGGGTGTAAATGTCCCCCGTGCTGCATTTCTACAAACATTAGTTCCACTTTCATGCCTGCAGGGTGTAAAGAGTGTTCGGCTTAATGTCTTATTAGACAAACTCCCCCCCCCCACCCCCCCCCCACCCCCCGACAGAGAGGAGCGTTTACTTCTCTAATATTTGGTTTTATCCGACATACATCCTTACAGCTAATAGAAAGTCATCTGTACAGCCGACATCCCATTGAAGATATTTACATATAGAGTACGACTGTTTCATCATCTCACCTCCTCCTGTTCTCTCCTCTTCCAGCGCAGCTGAGCGTTCGCCGCCGCCATCGCCTCGATCACAAACGTGGTGGTCATGTAGCTGAAGAGACGAGAGACAGAAAACTATGAGACGACTAAGAAGCAGCTTTTAATGACCCTGATGATAGAAATGAAACATGTAAAATCATCCTTTTGACTTTCCATTCATCGTCAGACACATGGGGCAGGTTTTCTTTTTTTCCTATAGCTGTTCTGTAGGATGTGTACTGCCTCAAACCCTGATCCAGGAGAAGCCACAGGCCGGATTCAAAGCCAGGCCGTCCGCTTCAAGGACTACAGATTCTGTACACTGGGCGCAGAAACTAACCGCTAGGCCAGCAGCACCCCACAGACACATTGTTGACACTTAAAGGTGTCAATGGATAACATTTCCCCCTCCTCTTTCATTTTATTCCAGCATGATATGTTAAATAATGCAATAATGATAAGAAGTAAGAAGGGATGCGTCGATGGTTCAACATCGGTATCGGCCGATATTGACAGATATCTGCAAATAATGTGGCATGAACCGATGTCAGTAGGTATTGTTTCAGCCCTGAATTTCCCAATCGGTGCATCTCTAATTTTAAGGTATAAATTGGCTTGGTGTTTTTCTTTTTTTTTTTTGTTAGGCAGTAAGTCAACTCTCCTGATTCTGAAACATTTCCAGATAAAACAGAAGTGCTTTTCTTTAAGGTCCTCGTCGACCATGTTTCTCTGCCAATTCTTTTTCCTTCATCTAATCTCATTATCACCACACAGGACTTCATATCAGTGAGCTGCAGCTCCAGTTAACACATAAACAGTACAGGCCGGGTTAAAGGAGTCAGCTGACAACCCACTAAGGAAAGTCGGTCAGCGGGGCAATCATGGAGCTTTCCTGGTTAATAACTGCCAGGATGAACATAAATGTTTACAGTGTAATCTTACATAAGCCTGGATAACATTATCCTCTAACTACTTCATTCTTGTATCATTCATGTGTTTGACATGAGTCATGCCATGCCGGCTTTTGCAACGAGTTTATTTCCTCATATTTGGGCCGCAATGACACGTGAAATTTCAACTTCTCGCTCAGCACTAATTCCTGTTCCTGTTCTGTTGCAGCCTTCAAAAAGCACATCATTGCTTCTTTTAAACACATGACATGAAAACAAAACTTTAACTTTCAAAATCACGTACAACTCATTTTGTGGTAAAGACCTGGAGGTCCTGGATCTCCAGTGATTTGCACATTATACGATACACATTGTAACACAAGTTTTGTAGCTGTGACATCTGTGACACATCACATGCATGAAGCATTTTTCTTTTTAGCTCATCAATGAATCCAATGCTAAAACCGCTGTTACTAACTTCTCAATGCATGTTAATATCACAAGTTTTTTTTTCACTTGAAAACCCACGATTGATCATGCACGTACCACTACAAGTGCAATCAAATGTTCACGTACAAGCTAGACTGAATATAAACTTTGAAATGAAAGCATGCAGTCTTCTGTTGTGTGCAAGATCTAAAAGAGGAGGGTCACATGTCAGACATGGATAAGAGCTGTAAACAGCAAACAGTAAAGCTGATGTTCATGATGCAACAAACTGAGGGCTGAAGTAGGGGTGCACATGGCTTAGTGGTTAGGTTGCGCCCCTTGTACGTAGGCTGTAGTCCTCCAGGCGGGTGGCCCAGGTGGCTCAGGCGGCCCAGGTGGCTCCTTTCCTGCATGTCACTCCTCTCTCTCCCGCCCTCTGATTTCCTATACTCTATCCACTGGCCTTAAAATGAAGATCAGGTCTTAAAGAAAAGAAAATGAGTCTGAAGTAGAGCAAGACTTACCTCATGCATCCTAAGAAGGTGATGAGCGCTATACTGACCACCCAGCCGGCTGAAGCAAAGGCTTTGGGCATGGTCAGAGCACCTGTGCCCACGATCAGGTTGAACATGTACACCAGCCCCACCTGGAGGAGACAGGAAACGATGGACGATAGAGGTCAGGTCCAGATTCATCTCAAACAGCATTTTGAGTACTGTGACCTCGGAATTTAATTTGAATCCAACACAATATCTGTGTAACAATCAACTACACACACACAGACAATGTATCAATAAAGGCAACAACAAAACCAGCAAGTCCAAGTGCAAAATGTATTTAACTGACTGCACAGCACTTTATCTGACTTAATGCACTTCTCTGTGCTGTGTGTCTGAGCTGTTTCCGCCTCTGGCTCAGTGCGGTTGAAGTACCTGTTTCTCACTTCTCTCTACGTCTGTATTTCTGATGCTGTCTTTTGTGTACCTGTCGTGTCTTGTTGCCTGCAGCAGATGTAATTTCCTTCCAGATAATAATGAAGTTGAAGGTTATTTTATTGCTTTTGTCAATCGAGTTTGGTGGCTTTGAATGGATCTCTGTGAAGGCTTCTTGTGGTTTGAAAAAGCATCTTTTAATTCAACAACAAGGTCTCTTACAGTCCTGATCATTTCTATATTTTTGTCTTTAACAAAGAGCACTTGACAGCCCTTAAGACAGCGCTTGATCCATCACATGAGTATTACTTTGCAGATTTTATATCAATACAGCCAAGAAAGTTCCAAACCCTAAAAAGATGCTGCAGTCAGTCTGTAATAAAAAACTATATACTCAAGTTTCACCACCAGAGTTTCAGAGAAATCCCATTCCAACCACGTGCAACCTTTTCGTTTTGCTGCTCCGCTGTCTCTCTACAGGGATTCAAAGATTACCATCAAATATTTACGATCTACATTATGTAGTCTTTCTTTGGAGGGAAATCTCAGGCCAGACCGTATCAGGTTTTTCCTCAGCACCCGGCTTGATAACAATAGGACAACTTGTTGGGAGCCACAACCCTTGTTGAAGAAGACAGCTGGACTAATTGTTCAGCCGTTTCTCCCGCTATCAGGTAGCAGAGTGCTTAAATGATTCAGAGCTTCAAGCTTCCTGGAGAAGAATAAAAAAACTTATCGAACTGAATTTTTTCTTTGTGGTGAAGTGATGTGGGCGTAAGCAGATTCAGAGACTAAAATGAGTAGTCAGGGCTTCATTCACACCATAAAGAGGAAGATGTGTAAGCAATTTAGCTTCCTCTTTATTTTTCACGGCACCATCACCTACTTACTAAGACATTACTCACGATGAAAACCCCAAAGGTTTGAATTTTAACTCTCTTAATTCTGCAAACCCTTCAGCTAGACATGGTCAGTCTTCATATCCTGAGTATAATCATGAAGATAAAAACAATCCACTACATGAACCTTAAACTCAGAAATCTTCACCTTCTAAACTCAGAGTGTAAAGGTCTACAGCATTGACTTTATATTCTCTGTCAGTGGGACTTTGCATTCAGCGGCTTAGAATGAAAGTGCACTTTTTTTTTTTTTATAGATCTTCCTTCACAGTACGCACATTTTAACAGTAGTTCCAACGTGCATGACCTCATATGCATTTAAAAAAAGAAAAAGATTAGTTATTAACAACAGCATTCTGCAGGAAACTCACAAACGGGGAGTAGGGTTCTCCGGACTCTGTTATTCCACCTGCCATGGTTGATGATGACACGGGTCTCTTCACCTGAGGGACAAAAACATATTTACATGCAACTTGTTATATAGTGCAAATTAATGCTTAAATAATATGGGGGGGAAGGGGGTTCTCGTGGTTGTGCAACAAATCTACCTGAAACAGTCAACTTTAATCCTTGGGACAGGTTTTTAGATAAATAGATAGATAGATAGATACTTTATTGATCCAGAGGGAAATTCAAAGCATCCAGTAGCAGGTTACAAAGACATGACATGAAACATTTGTTACAAATTAAACCACAAAACCGACGCCCCCCCCCATACATATATGAAAAAAGATTTAAAGAATACCTCTAGATGAATCAAACTTAAACTGTGTAATTAAAAATAGATTTATACAAGAAATGTACATAACCCGTGCAGGGATAAAAATATATGTGAGATTTAAAGAAGAACCTATAAACAGTTGAGGAAAAAAATCTGTAATTAGACCTGAATTAGGGCTGGGCGATATATCGAGTTTTTAAGATATATCGATATATTTTCAATCCAGATATAGGTTAGGACAATATCGTTAATCTCGTTATAGTTCATGCTGCATTAAAATAACGTTATATGTTTCTTCTGTAGAGCTGCCAGTTCACCTATTTCTCATCTCACTGTCTCTCTCTCTCTCTCTCTCTCTCTCTCTCTCTCTGAGTCAAACCCAAAAAACTAAATGGATAATACAATACACAACTGTGTTTATTTTGTTATGCAGAAAATGAATTAACTTCACAAACAGGTAGTTTGTTTTCATGTACATGTTGAACTTGTGCAATTGACTGTTAATAAAATACACATCGATATATATCGAGTATCGCCATTCAGCGAAAGAATATCGAGATATGAGTTTTGGTCCATATCGCCCAGCCCTAACCTGAATATAAAAAAATATAAAAAGTGTTGACCATCTGAAGTTGTGAAGTTGAAGTTGTTGTTTTATGTTATTCTCAAAGTCTTATACAGATTTAAAAAAAAAAAAAAAAAAAACGTATCTTATTCCAAGCATGTGAGCCTGCTTGAACACATCTTATTTCAGGAGGGAATTACTCCATATAAATAACTGTGAGAATAATGCAGAAAGTGAGGTACTTCTTTATTGTATTCATAACAGAGTTTCAGCATTATGTAGTTCCATATTCTAGTGGAGTTAAACATTTTTATGGGTTTTAAGTCACTGTTGATGTTCTTGAGCTGACATCTGCTTGCCAGCTACGCAGACTGGGACAGACTTAATCCATCTTTATTATTATTATTATAAAAAATATATATTATTAATTGTATTATTTTTTATTTTATTTTATTATTATTATTATTATTATTATCTGACATTAAACAATATCAGTATATCGTTGTGTCGTTGCATGAAACTGATTTTTTTTTAAATACGTGACAAGCTAAAAACAGAAGTAAACACATCTCACCTTCTTCTTCTTCTTCTTCTTCCCAGAATGTTTTGCTAGCTACTTTAGCTCCTCGGCTAGCAGGACGCTCCGAGCTGTCACCCTCTCTAGCTAGCGGAATAAACACGTCCCCCTCGTCCCCCTCTCAGCTAACATTAGCTGTTCCGTTATCAGATAAATTTGAGGTGAGTCCGTTCACAACTAAAAGGGCCAAGGGAAAAAAAAAAAACACTTTCACATTGGCTAGCGAGGCTCTAACACTTACGCTAAGTGAAGCAGTAAACTAAACAACCAGCTGATCTGCCCCATAGACTGTAAATATTACTGCCCGCTGCCCCCGCTGTTTAAAGAAACTCGTCGAACTTCCGGTAATCGATTTCAAAATAAATCCAGTGTCCAACTTCTTACGTTTGTTTCGGTGAGTTGTTAATAGGCAAATCTTTTATTTTGAAGGCAGTTTAAGGCTATGGTCGTTCTTTTTTTTTGTTTAGCTCATTGCTGCTTTTAACGTTTACCCCTACTTTTATTGGTGCCTGAATCACATGGAAAGGTCCAATAAAATTAGTTTGAGCGATATTCCTTTACAGTTATCCCTACTTTGCTGGTGGATTTTTATCAAGATACATTTAATACTATATTACTACACTTTGGTGAAATCATTGCTGTTTTACTCATCAAAACAATCAGAACAATCAACCCCCTTGACCACAAGATACATAAACCTGTCATATGACTTGCACACCTGTCTGTGATTGCTTCTGTGCATTTCCACTTCTGGTAGATTTTTGGTGCTTTTAAAATATTTAGAAATGTATTTTTGTTTTACACTCTTTGCAGCATTAAAGACATTAAATGATGAAAATAATGTAAAGGTTATACATGTTGGGAAATGCCTAACTTTCAGCTTTTTTGTGGAGGGGAAAAGCAACATGCATGCATGGAGGACGACGAGTAAAAATAAATTATTTCATTTCATTCTAAGAAACTAGAAAATAAGTATCTTCAAAAACTCTTCAAAAATTCTTCTCAAGCCATTAATAAAATCCAAGCCTTAGTTTCCCATTCTCACAGTACATAGATGCCATCTCTCTTTATATACTTTAATCAGAATAATGTGTAGAAAATAGAAATAATCAGTAAAAAATATATACAAAATAGAGACTGTGTCTACCCTGATATCTAGAGAAAAATCCAAAAACAAATTTTAAGCAATTTATTGTTTATTACATAAATACACGTATACCCGTTCAAACTAAAATAAGGAACCATTTCATCCTCCCATTCAACATTTTTAAACCAAATCTCTAAAAGAGGTCCAGAGAAATTAGGTTTACGTGATTCTTTTCCTAGCTTGTTATGTAAGACATTTCTTCTGAGCTGCATCTTTTAATACAGTAAAAGTAAAAGTTTGCTGACTGCCAATGCAAATCAGAACACAAGAGAATTGGTCATTATAGGGGAAGGGTTATTTCATTTTTCATGTTCTAGAGAGTTAAGGGTTCAGGAAGATTATGCAGAGGCTGTGAAGTAAAGGAAAAAAAGCACCATTAACAAGCTGACCAGGAATGTGCAGAAAAGGGAGCTGGTATGTCGGGATTATGTTCGGATATTAGAGGTAAGATATGACATTTAAGCCTCCGTCCTCTTTTACAGAATAGTTTTTTAAATATGTAACATGTCATAAGAACTCTGGTTCACAAAACTACCAAGATAAACACAATACAACTTTATTTTCATCCAGTAATCATGACATTTTTACCCAGCTGTAAATACGTTAATTTCATGATCTGCAGTTTACATGTATTTTCATTATGTCTAAAAGGTTAATAGATATTGTTACCCCTTTATGAATAATAAATAAAGAATATGTAGAAGTCACAACTCAAGAAGACTCAATTCAAGTATTCTTGTTGCTTTATATGTTAAGCAATGTTTATAGCCACCTGATATTTAGTTATTATCCATCAAAGCATACACTGTCACACATTATCTTAAGATTTTGCTGAACCACACTATACACATGTACGTTAGAAAGACAACAACCGTTAATAAATAGAAGACAAAGAACAAATGGTCGAGGATCTCTGCTATTTTTTTGTAACCTCCGGGCTTCTTTTCCTCTTCTCCTTGTCTGCTGGCTTGTTGTCGAGCGGCCTTCACTTCTTCAAGAATTCCTTTCAGCATGTTTCGAACGTCGGGACCGTCCAGAGGAAGAAAACTTTTCTCCTCTTTCATCTGGATGTCCTCTTCTCCTCCAGAGGGCTCTGTGAGGGAGAGACAATGATCAGAGTGTGTTTGTAAATTTAAAAAAATAACAGTTACATGTAGGATCATTGGGCATTAAAGGAGCAGTTATGTTACTCTGACACCTAGTGTTTAAAATGGGTACTGCAGTCCAAATTCAAAACACTGGACAGACAACCGTCTCCTCCTGGAATTTCAAACATGTGATTAATGGTTATTATCAACTCTGAAAATTTAGCAATTAATCACAGCCCTAGTTTTTTGGGATCTCAACATAAATCAATATTTTTTATGATAACTCGTGAATTGATAGTTAAAAAAAATGTTGCAATGATAAAGAGGTATGTGGTACCCTTAAACAGGTAAATAATCATGAGGTGTATTTGCATCTTGAGCTCTATAGTTAGTATTGATTGGCTTGTTTATCTCCAGCAATCTTGTTGATTGCTTCTGTTCTGACTACAATTTATTTCTGTTTTTAAGCAAAGTGAGGTGAGGAAAGAGCATCTTACGTACCGTTTTGGCAGCCATCTTCCAGTTCAACCTCCTCCTTGGTATCAGCACAGCATCCACGCTTACTGGCACAGTAACTATCCAGGTCATATAGGAAGCCCACCAACATGGCCTCCAGAACACTGATCCCCACCAGAGCGAAGACGGCAACACAGTAACTGGCTAAAATAAAGGTGCAAAAGACACTTGAATGAAAAGTAATCTTTTTGGCGCGAGGGAAAATACATATCTGACAGGGGTTTTCTTTTTTAATGTAAAAAATCCTAAAGGAAAACTTCTCTTAGAAGTCTTTAATTCAATAAAGCTATTAGGAAAGCCTCCATTGATATAGTGAAAAGAGCAGGTTTAGTTTGAGTCAATAATTGGGACCAACAAAGGACATTCATCCAGGAGACCACAGCTTAAGTCCCATTTGAAACCAAAGCTCAGTCTAAGTGTCTTTAATCCTTAGTTAAGCCTGCACAGAATAAATGTGTTCTTATGTAAACATACTGGCTCGTTTTATATTTGTATGAATGTCCTTCGTTTGTCCAACTGTTCACCCAATGGATTTCAAACTTTGGAAATGTGTTGCTGTGCCACCAAGAGAGGGCAGTGTTGACTGTGAAGTGGATCTGATGAGCAGTTCTCGACTGGCTTTTCTGCCAGAAGTCCTTAAAGGGAGTCTAAGGTGAATGTAGTTAAAAATAAAATAAAAAAATAAAAAAAGCAAAGTCCATGCAGAATCTAGAGGCCGAGGAAGAAGTAAAACATAAAACACTTTTGTGTCCCATTGGCAAAGCATTGATCCGGTTCCGATAGGCCACACCCAAAACATTCACCAGTTCAACTATAAAGCAAGGAATCGCTGTCTGTCATAAGCCACGCCCCTTTGCATCCAGGCAGCTTTTTGGACATTTTAAATCGTATGCCAATGTGCTTTACTCTGCAATTTATGGACAACCGTTACCAAATTTTGTTCTACACCTCTCTCGACCAATCTGGAGAGAGAAAAAGAATCCCTCCAGTTTTTACTTTCTTTCTTATAGTACAGAAAATCTCAGATCGCCTGAACATTTTGATCTATTGGAACCAAATTTGGTGGATATGTGTAGATAGGATCCATGTTGAACCATGCCAAATTTGATGGGATTCAGTAAACAGGGGGAGCAAATGTTCATCTTTACATTTGGGAGGACCTAAGTGAGTGAAGTATTGAGAATGAAGCTAAAAGGGCAACTGTCAGGTACAACAGTTCTTAACATTGTCACAGGAATAAGCCACCAACTCCAAGCCTGAGCAAAACCAAGACACATTTAAACCTCGCTCACCAATATATGGCATGTTGGACTCAGTAGACGGCAACATGTCCTGAAGAATGAGCAGTAAGACGGAGATGGCGAGCAGAATGGTCACTTTGAAGCTCAGCTTTTCACCACTGGACTGATTGATGAAGAAGGAGGCCAAATCCAGGACCAGTAAGTAGAACAGCGGCACGATAAAATTGATCACATAAAGCATTGGCTTCCTGGAAATTAAAACCTAACAAAAGAAAAAGAAAAAGGCATGTTCATAGAATGGTACATGCTTGAAAAATATGCAAAATTCATTACAAATACTTTCTTACCGTGTATACAAGTCTGGCTTGCACTACACCTTCCTTTTTTATGGATTCACTCCTTATTGTCATGTTATCCAGTTCCCATTCTCCCTGTGTAACCATGAGCTGGTCAGAGATTCTATAAAGGAATGACTCATTGCTTTGTGTTCCCAGCAATATTTCATTCTCTGTTTCAGATGATAAAAACAAGTCGTTAACAATTAAACCAAAGATGTTCAAAAGCATTTTGACTGCGCACAAAAAAATGAGGTTAGAGTGAAGAGAATCTGACGTGATTTACCAAAACAGTTCATGGATGCAAATGTGAGTTCACATTTTTGCGCGTCGAAGGGAAACAGGTTGAGATCGAGAAGACAGGTGGAGGTCAGCCGCTGCCGCGAGTCTGCAATCACGACACCGTTGCTCAACAATTTAAGAAGTTTACTGTTTTGGATACTCCCAGTGTCCGAGACGCTGAAAGGGGTCAAGACAATAAGTCACTTAAAAGTACAAAATATAATCAAATAAAAAACAACACACGAGAGCAAATAAAGAACAATCGTGGGCAGGATGTCTGTTATCAGTAAGTAGTTTGACTGACAGGTCTTTGACCGCAGATTAATTAGCCGAGGAATATTCGGGGGAAAAATGACTAATGTCAACACAGTCGGCTATAATGGAACTATTGATTTATCTCGATTAAACACACACACACACACACACACACACACACGTGTTCTACAGAAACTTAAGAACACACACAGCTGTACTATTGTGCAGTCTGACTCACCTGTTAGTTTACTCTGCTGTAAAAGGATACGGGTGACCATCGGGCTTTACAAACATCGATACAGGCAATTAACAAACGTTTAAACATCAGAAGTGAGTGAGCACATTTAAAAGGTTCCTTAGCAGCGATGAGATCAATATTTGTGTTCAAAGTGTATCAAATAAGGATTAAGGACTTTATAATGAATTAAAAAGTTGATTTGTCACCATCTTATTCACATTTATTCCTTTTATTATAAGTACATTTGCATGGATATGACACATAATGATGGATATTTTTACTGGTTTTTAATGTGTGTTTTAAAATGCACATAAATTAAGGTTGTCAAAGCTGCAGATGTGGTTTTAAGTTTTTCAGCCCTTGGGGGCCCCAAGCAGCGCCTCTGTTAGTGTAGCCTCACATATAATACCAACAACAACAACAACGCTATTAGTTATAATGTGAAAATATCGGTATTGGTATCACAATCGTATCAGAACTGAAAAGTGGATCGGTGAATCTCTATGGTTTGTGGTTCCCTTCTGATACTGTTAAAGATCCAGTTTAAAAAAGATTCAACCTGCAGGTCTGTAGTTTAATAATAGTTTTTATACGTACTCCTCTTGGATGTAGATATCTGGAAGCCACAGTCTCGATTTCGGGACGGTCAGCATGTTAATCCCACAAAAGTCTGAAGGATTCCAGGACAGATACTCATTCTTCCAACTCTGGAAAAATGAAAGATGGAGGTTTTCTTTTTTGGTAAAGTGAAAGAGAAAAGCTGAAGAGTGTGAGACTGATGTTGATGTTTGCTGACGATGAAGGCCATCTTGATCTCAAAGATCATTTCTTACCATCTGGATCCAGATGTGACTCTCGACAGTTTGATACTTTTCATCCTGCAGAACAAAATATCACGTTTATAATCTAAAACAAACACTCCACACTTCTTGAGAGTGAGATTTTGTTTTTGTACTCACCACGTTTAAAATGCCGAATATCAACATGTCCAGCCCGACCGTGGTGGGGTTTTTCCAGTTCTTCACGGGGCGCATGATTTGTAGCGCGTCATTGGCTGGTGTCAGCTGCAGGTGGGTCAGAAGGGTTAAGTATGAGCAGTCTTTAGTCTGATTCTGACTGCTGGAAACACCTGCAGGGAAAGAGACGAAACATCGATATAGAAGAGGACAACAACAAAATCTCATGCCTTCATTTAAACTGAAATACCGGCCGCAGTGATTTATGCAAAAAACTCACCGATAAGAGTGAAGAAGGCGAGAACCCTCAGGGCGTCCATGGCCGTTTGCCTTCATCTCCATCTCAGCAAAGCCTTTTTAACCGTGAAGCTGTGTTGCATAAACACGACAATAATACAAAGGAACCAATAGATCATCTCTGACTCACTGCGCTGTAAACGTGTAAAAGAAAGCCTCTCCTTACATTTCTATTGTTAAAGCAGAGAGAGAGTCAACATGAGGAGAGCGCAGAGGTACAACAGCTGGGAGAGCTCGCACTGTGCTCGATGACACCTGTGATTAAGGGAAAAGGCGAGATCTCAGCGAAGACAACAAAAAAAAATCAACAGAGCAAACATAACAGCTGTGAGAGACTGTGATTAGATTTTTAAAAAACCTCCAGAAAATAGGTTCCTAAAGTGCAGGATGTGACCCCCTGGGAGGTCGTGAGACACTGAGAGGGGTCGATACAAAAATACAAAAAAGGAGCTGAATTTAAAATACATAGACCTGTGTGTTTATTACTTTGTGAATGTCCACTCAGTCCTTCAGTTTATACATGGAGATTATATGTTCTGCTTTTCGCCTTTTTTGCAAAAACTTACTAAAATAGGGACAGTGGGGGTCTCCATCCTCTAGAAAAGTTCATTTTGGGGTTCCCGAGGTGAAGTGCTTGCTAAGCCCTGCCCCAGAACTTCTGCTAATTCAAGTTATGGTGAGATCATTGTACAGGATGAACTCGTAAGAACGATTAGAAAAAGAAAAGATGCTGATGGTTTGTCCTGTATATTGGTGTATTGATAAATGTATTTATAACAGAAAAAAAACATGACAGTCATTGTACAGGTTTTCTGTGGAATATATAACTCTAGGTCCACTAACCAACTCGTTCTCCTCCAGAGTAGAAGCTGAAGACGTTGTGAAACCGTGTGCGTGTACACATGACGGTACATCAAGTTAAGAGAATAAAAGCAAACGCAATTTAAGACAATGCAATTTGAGTTTGTATTTAGAAAGTTCATCTTAAAGAGAGATACTGACACGTAAAGTTAATGCTTCTTAAAAGACTGCATTTCATACAAAACGTCTTGATAGAGACAGAGGAACTGGAGAACACGATCAGCAGCTCTCCGGATATGTTTCTGAGTCCTCGGGGGTTGTTATTGAGTGGAAAAGTGTTATTGAAGAAAAAAGACTTTCTTTTTCTAATGAATGTTTAATTCAAAAAAGGGTGTGCAGTGAGCTGTACACTGTGCAACCTACAGACGTGATAAACCCATTTTTTTTTTAAAAGGAAAAAACATATTCAGTGATCCCTCTATGTTTCAAATTTAAATGAGAAAACTTTGCCTCGATGGAGCACAAGAGCCACATTAAAGCAAAAGAAAATCCAAAGTTTTGAGATTTAAGTTGTAAATTTACTAGAATAAAGTTAATTAGTGATATGAAATGTATAATTGGATTTAAACTAGGCGATGGTTAAAATTATTATTCTGAAAGGTTGTATCAACTACTGACTAAGTACTCGACTTTATTTGACTAAATTTAGGATTTTCTTTGAGTAAATTTACAACTCTAGTCTTGTAAATGTATGACTTCAATCTTGAAATCTCAGATTTTTCCCCCTTAATGTGGCCCTAAAAGTCCTTCTTACCATTTAAAGGTGGTATAAAAATTTTTTTTTAAAAAGAAGCAATGCAGGCCCCCCTTCAGTTCCCACCTAATGACTGAAACTTTGGCAAAAAGTCCACTCCATGACGTAAAGCACCGCTCAGACCCCATAAACACTCTCTCCAACCTGTGCCACCAAAGGTTCATCATCCAACCCACAGAGTCATACAGAAGTCCACAGATGAGTTTATACGGCTGTGAGGTGTCAGGGGAAAACGTCAGTGGGTATCTGGAAATCTTTGAAGGTGTAGAAGGAGATGTCTCCGTGGTCCACTACGGCACAAACCACCTGGATGTCTCCACTGCTGAAGGCCAGCAGCTTGATGGCTCTCAGGTCCGGCACGGGGTCGTCGAAACTGAGATACAGAACGGAGGCAGTTTATTCATTTTATTTTTCTCATGTCCTTTTTTCTGTTGTAGATCTTTTTTTTTTTTTTTTTTGGGAGGGGCAGGCTGTCATCTGTTGATTTTAAATGTTAATTTAAGCTCCATCAAATTAAACAAAAAAAACATGACACAAAAGAGGGTTCTTGTTTTTTTTCAACCACTGTGACTCTTATTCTAATGTTTCCTGTAAACCGATCTTTTGCAAACATGGGTGTGTGTGTATCTTTTCTTACCTGCACACACACATGCGGGAGTGCGGTTTCCCCGGGTTGCTCTTCTTGAAGTCAGCCACCGTGTCAGGTTGGTAAACATTAAAACAGATCCTCCACTTGTCTGAACCTTTTAACCTGGAAGGACAAAAAAGCGCGAGTCACACCCCCCCCTCACATCAGCCGAGGCGTCCTCTCTCGCTCCTTTGTCTCGCCATCTTTTGTGTGTTTACTGATGAAAACATTAACAGCTGCGATGGAAGGGAGACAAAAAAAATCGAAACTCTGATTGACTTTCCAATCACAGGTGACTTAAATAAAACACTGGTCACTTGAGGTCACTTTGTTAATACCAGCCTGGACTGTTTGATTACATTATGCTTGTTTACTGTGACTGCAGCACATGTGCATCTTTACTTTACTGTTTTAAAGGCAGGGTTGGTCATTTTCTAAAGATCCACTTTTTAAGATTTTGGTTGAAATCATCTTTAGGTCCTCACAGAAATTAATAACTCATGTTCTCTGAAAAAGGAACAAAGAAAATCTGTCATCTGTATCAGTTTGTAAGCCTGTAAAAACTTTGACCAATGTCTGCCACGAGGTACCAATCTGATGAACCAATCAGACGCCTCCCTGTCTCCCTGCTCACTCTCTACCCCTTGTAGGCACTACTCGCCCACATTCAAAGCGCGTCACCAATGACGGAGTTTAGACCAACGGAGCTGGAGCATGTAGGTGAGGGGGCGTGGCTTTAGAGGGAGCACAGAGGGGACGGGGTGGATGCAGACGGAGCACTGAGGGAATGCTACTTTCAAAATCATAGTAGTTTTTGAAAATTACCAACCCTGGTTTTTGCAACTTTTAACCACTTAAAGACATTTCTTTGCTTTGACCTTTTTTGAAGTCGAAATTTTTTCATGAAAATGTTCAACTTTTTTGAAGCCAAACTTTTTTCATCAGAATATTGATTAAAAACTGCCTAACTCTGTGTTTAGAAGAAATGTCTCATTAAGCACGGTTGGTGAATGAGGCCAAACCAGAAACAGAAAGAGAAACAAACAGTACCTGGACGCTCCCTCGACTAAACTGGTAGATTCAGTCATTCTGATTTTTTCCAAAAGATCCGCTGAGGAAAAACATTTTTTGAATCAGATACATCTTATCAAAGTGGATTAGAATCCAGGAACTGTGTGTATTGAAATTGAGAGCATGTCGCTGTAAACTTACCCGTGGGTATTTGTTCTCTCGGGTTGTGTAAGGGAGTCACTTCCCTGTTCCACAAATGTGCTGGTCCACCTTTACGTTTCTCCTGCCGCCTCGCCTGGAGCTCGCGATACTCCGCCCAGTTTCTGCAGCGCCGAACCTGAAACAAACTCCAGATTTAAAAAAAAAAAAAAAGTCATGCAACATAACAATAGTGTGAAATAATGTGTGTAAACAATAACCTCTCTGTCATTGTTGATATTCCACCGGTGTCTTCTCTCCTCCCTCCTCTGCTCCTTCACCTTCCGCAGGTTTATCCTCCCTCTCCAGGGGGCGACGTCGCACACCCCCACAGCTAGAGACCCTGGGAGCAGAGAGGGGTCTGGAGGGGCCAAGCAGCTAGGGCGGCGCTCGCTGGAGCCCAGGTCAGGGAACGAGATGGAGCCGAAGTGCCAGCGTGAGGAACCAGAGGCAGGCTGGTGATCTGATTGGTCCTCGCGAGCATCCATCATCCACCAGGTCCTGCCCCCTTTGTCTTTCTCTGCTGGACTTTGAGCTGCCGTTTGGGTCTCTGGTGTTGCCGGAGATGTCATCATGTCTGACTTCCGACATTTTTTATCTTCGTTTTCCTCGTGGCGGCTTTTATCCTCCTCCATTCTGTCGGCTGAGGAGTCTTCTTTTGTTTCAGTTTGACTAAAGTGAGAAAAAAGGGATGGAAAACCTCATGTCGCTTTAGTATAATATGGGAAGTGGGGCGCTGGCTAGACTAGCGGTTATGTCCCGCGCCCCTTGTACCGAGGTTACAGTCCTCGCCGCTGCTGCAGCCTTTGCTACATGTCATCCCCCGCTCTCTCCTCCAACATTTCCTGTCTCTTCAGCTGTTCTCTAATAAAGACAAAAAATTGCCAAAAACCATAACTTGAGGCGCAGTGGTTAGTGCACGCGGCCCAGGTTCGAATCCAGCCTGTGGCTCCTTTTCCATTCCCCACTCTCTCGCTCTCTCTTTCTCTGATTTCCAGCTCTATCCACTGTCCTATCTCTCCATTAAAGGCCCAAAAAGCCCAAAAATAAATCTTAAATTTTTTTTTTTTTTTTTAAACACAACTTGATAAATAATAATAACATAGGAGGCGGAGCCTTCAGTTATCAGGTCCCGATCCTTTGGAGTAATCTACCTTGTTAACCTGGATGTTGTTGTCGGCGCGGGGCTCGCACTGCGTTTCCTCTTCAGTTGTTTCCCGCCTCTGTCACGGGACGGAGGAAGGTTCAGCTGCCTCGCATAGGACGACGGCTCCGAGCTGTGACGAGCAAAAACCAGACGGGTTGATATGAAATCTGTTGAGTTTCACGACCACGCCTCTCTCATTAGTTAAACACTCTTTTGTTTTTGTTTTTAAATCTCATTTTTATGTATGGGTTAGGTATGCATTGAGATTCAGTTACCTGGGATCAAATCTGTGCACCACGTAGCCGAGCCTCTTCAAATGAGCGAACACCTTTGCGGTAAAAAGAAAAGTCATTCTCGAGAGCATATCGAACTGCGTACAAGCCAACTGGAACGCTGCATCAGTGGCCGTTACTTAACAGTAAGCACCTTTCTGTTTTTTAGACAAATAGCCACCACAAAAGTAAAAAAAAACATGTGTCCCTTCCTGGTACGTCACCTCACAAAGACACACCTGCAACTTTGAAATGGTTAGTGCTTGGTAAAGCTCTTATTATTGCCCCCTGGTGATTACAAAGAAAACTTAAAAACAAAACGCAAAACACATTCTAACTGATGAACTAGCTACAACAAATCAGCACATGTTTAATACCTGATACTGCTGGAGGGTCACCGTGCTCGAGGACAGAAACCTCTCATAGCCGTCCTGGATGGACAGAGGCAGGCCCCTGTGAAACACCTGCACGTTTCCCTGTTCACACAGATGTCATGGATCAGTATTCACAGATGAGTGTTGCAGTGGATAAGTGTATTGAGAGGGGTACAGCACAGCCTGACAACCAGGTTTCATCAGCACTCACACACTCCATCAGGTAGAGAGCCTCTTCAGGGAGGAGATGCTGCTTTCCGTTAGCAGAGAATCCCATCGTCTGCCAAAACTTCCCCTTTGTGGAGAAATAAACAAACATCCTCAAATGTTGTAACATTTTATTAAAAGATACCTTAATCAAACAGAGTGTCAAAAAGTAGAACTTACAGCTGGAGACTGAAGCTCCACTGTCTGCTCATTAGGAATCCATGTTGCCTGCACCAGGTTCCCTCTACAGTGAAATAACAAACAGCAGTACCTTATATAAAGCCTACATTTCAACAGTTGAGTTCAAAATCTTTATTAAAGGCTTTAAATGTGATTTTTTTGATCTAGCAGATGTCGCCCTTGAGCACCAGCATGAAACCAAAACAACTCGCGCTGCATTGTTGTGTTAGCATGCTAATGCTAGCGATCTTTATTATGCTCGTATCTTCACACTGCATGTAAATTTACCTGAAATGAGCGTGATCTAGAAACACAGTTAAGCAGTGAGTACAGTATGTTATTCTTCTTTTCTCTAGTCCCTCAATTAAACAACTTTTATACTCGAGGGGAGGAGTCAGCCGGCCGTCCTGGCGATGTAAACAAACTGAAGATAGGACTCTGAAAACATCACAGACAGTGGGACTCGGGTGTTACACCCATTGTAGACAGTCATGACTCAGAGTTATTTTCAGAGGAGATACTTGATGTCTACATTTAAGTATGACAAATCCAAAATAAAGACTTTAAGGGGTCCATGCCAAGAGAGCCGAAAAAACACAGATACAGCAAAAAATACAAACGATACAAGCAGACAAATACGACTGTCACAACTGCAACTGGGGGATCTTCACAATTTCAAGAGACACAAGAACCTGCGACAGGTGGTGTCGACATATTAGAGCAAAGCATGGCGCAAGGATGTAGGACGCGCCCACCCGGAAGCGAACCCAAAATTTCCCTGCCATTTCGAAACCAGAGCTGGCCAATCAGAGACTTCTGGGCCTCCATTCATGTGCGGTGGGGACTGTGTCTGCAGAGACTCTGTCCTCTGTCTGGATTTTGATGATTTGTTACTGTTGACTCTGGATGATTCAGGGCGGGGACCTGGTGTGTTTCCCTTCAGCTAATAGTCATTGGTGAGTTTAGGAGTGGATACAATTCAGCGATTGGATGTGATTCAAATCAGCGAACATGACGGACGTACACATGGCAAAAAAAGAAGAGAAAACAAAATGATCATGACAAGCAGATGAAGCTCATTTCAAAACCAGTATGAACCTTGTGTCGGCTTTTACCCCGGGGATGCAGAGGTTGTCTGCTTTCTGTTGGACAGGCAGGTGCCAAACACTGGTGGTTAGCTCGTGCTAACGTGCAGTGAAGGTACAAGCAGTAGACCTATACAGTAAGTGCTGCACCAAACAATGCTACTGACTCCACCTTCAACTTAATGATGTTTAGTTTTTGAATTGAACATTTTAATGCTCACACATTAAGTATTTGATGTATTCCTCTGCTACTCACAGCCTCTCCACTCTCTCCTCTGATATGAGGCTCCAGTGCTCCTCCACACTCTGCTCGAGGCGCCGTCTCTGCTCCTCCGAGTCGTTGGGGAAGAAATCCTTCTGACCTCGGACCGGGATCTTGTGACTCCTGGACCGGGATGCAAACAGTTCTGATGGACTGAAATGTAAAGAAAGACAGTTTGGGTGTTTTACAACTGTCTGATATAGACAACAACAAAAAAAACATTTAACCACTAAAGTTACACACTTACTTTGAATTCTTATATTCACTGAAAGAACCATAAAACTGTTTTAAAAACTGCAACGAACTAAAATGTACTGTGTGTTTACTAAACTAACTGAAGTAAGATACAATTAGAAGAAACAGTTCTTTGTCTTTGATAGTGACACATAACCGATCCTCACGAGTTGTCTCCATACACCAGGGGTGGGCAACTGGCGGCCCGGGGGCCACATGCGGCCCTCGTCAACCCTCAATGTGGCCCTCGGGTCAATTTTTATATATCAAAACATGAAGAAAACATGACAAAATCTGCCATGAAATCATGAAAACCAGAAATATGTCCATAATAATATTTGATCACCGGTATATGTCGAGTTAAATTTGAGACATAATCGACTGTTATCGTTTTTGTATGCTACAATTTGGCCCCTCTGGTAGTGAGAATTAAATGAATGTGTCCCTCCCTGCCTTAAGCTGTAAGATTGTTTCAAGCAACATCAGTTTCAAGTCTCAAAAAAGTAAATAAATACATATATTGTGCGCCCAATTTACTTCTGAATTTACTTTTTGAGCCTTTATGGCATCCGTAGCTTGCTGACTGGTGGAGTTAACACTTTTTTCCCCCCTGACTCATACAGAAGTATTTTATAGCTGGCTCAGTTTATTGTTCTTAGTGAGTGAGTCATAAAGTCATGACTTACTGCTTTGGGACCACACCCACACAACTTCTATCATTTCAAAAACAAGTCAGCTGCAGGAAACTCTGAACAAAGTTGTCTTGAATATTTTAAACCATAGACTGTAAATAACTACAAATATTCAGTCTATGGTTTAAACATGTAAATCTCCTCTAACACCTTCTTGGACCACATTTGTTTTTGTTTTTTCTCACACAGCAGAGGGTGACAGAGAGCAAAGGGTAGAAAAACAATGATAATGAAACTACTATAAACCCAGATTTTTAGTACTTAAATGGGTGTTTTCCAAGATGTTAAAATATGCACCACGACCTAAAACTTTAGTAGCTGTCATGAGAAACAAACATGAACCGCCATGTGAACACAGTGTACACAGCGACCATTTAAGAGCACAGGAGACAGGAAGTCTGTGAGTAAACCACTCTGACTTTTAAAATGTGTTCAGTTATTGCTCTGCTGTTACTACGTGATGTGAAAACTGACGTTACGTCGACAACGCACCTTAATATTTCACTGAAGAACTTCTCCCCGGTGTCTGTCATGTTTTTCTCCGCCATGTCTGTCTTCTGCGCATGCTCATTGCTGCAAACCTCCTCTGGGCCCTTGGTCCTAGCGCCCGTCAGGTTCAATAGTAATAATAACAAGTAGTTACAAACATGGCCAGCAGAGGAAGCTAAATCGTATAAAGAGCTGTTAAACTTATTTTGACCTGTCTCCAACACTGTTTTCTGTCACTGCTGTTATACGAAAATAGCTCCAGAAGAATATTTAGTTGAATTAAATTAGCTTGTACAAAGAAACTTGACTGCATGGGTTCTCTCCGCTTGCTTGTTAGGTTAATTTGGTGACTCTAAATTGCCCGTAGGTGTGTGTGTGGCTGGTTATCTGTCTCTACTTCATCCCTGTGATTGACTGGCAAACAGTCCACGGTGTACCACACCTCTATTTTCCATGGAAGGTGTCAACTTCACAGTATAAAAACAACACCTGTTCAGGTTGTCTGTAGCAGGTTCTTTGCAGCACACAGTGAGTAAACATCTACTTATTTCTAAATCTTTATACTTATACTAAAGAAAGGACACTGCATGACACTAATGAGTGAATTATCTCATTTCCCTGCAGGTTTCCTGAGACAAAATGACTTTGTTTGGTGTCCTGTTCCTCATCGTCACCTCCACGGTGTTGGCCGGTAATTGTATAGCCTACGTCTTTGTGTCTTTGTGATCTTATTAAATTAAATAGAGCTAGTTTTCCTAATCCTGTCAAGTGAACTGAATACCTCTTTTGTTATTATTCTTTTAATCTTTTGGTCAGACATTTTCTGAATTTCTGAACCGCATTGACATTTTCACACTTTGAATTGAATTTGGGTTGAATCATTTGTACCCAAGGGACAACTTTCTGAGAGACATTAGCCTGACATTTGAATCATTTCAAACCTTAGATTGATTCTTATTGTTCAGAATCAGAATGTACAGAAACTATCTCAGCAGGTCTGTATCTCTCTGTCTCTCCTACTCATTGACCTCAAACATTCGTCTTCTGTTTCCTATATTTGTTCTCAGGGAGTGTCACCATCAAGACCGTGGTGTTCCCATGTGAGTCGAGCAACACTTATGTTGAGATGCTCCCTCAGAAACCTCTGAACCTGAGGGCTTTCACTCTGTGCATGCGTGTGGCCACGGAGCTCACTGGGAGGCGTGAAATCATCCTCTTTGCCTACCGGACCAGAGACTTCGATGAGCTGAATGTATGGCGAGAGCTGGACGGCAGGTAGACACTCCGCAAGTGACTACAGTATACTGTAAAGGTCAAAATTCTGACTTTAGAGTCGCTGCCTATTGAAAGCATGAATATGATTAACTGGCTCTGAAAGATGCATGCTAATTACCTTTATTTATTTGTGTTCAGATTGTCTTTCTACCTGAGCGGAGAAGGAGTTTTCTTCAAAGTCCCTGAGCTCGGGCCACTGGAGACCCACCTGTGCTTCACCTGGGATTCCGGATCAGGTGCGGCTACCCTCTTCATGGACGGGAGGAGAAGTTCGACTAAAATCTACAAGAAAGGTCACGCTGTGCGCAGCGGTGGAAAGGTTATCCTCGGACAAGATCCAGATTCTTATTTGGGTGGTTTTGATGGCAAACAGAGCTTTGTCGGGGAGATCTGTGACGTGAACATGTGGGACTCTGTCCTCTCAGACAGCACGATCCGAGACATGTCCTCCATGAATAGTGTGCCCAGGGGAAATGTCTTTGACTGGGAAAGTACAGAGCTTAAAGTTAATGGGAATGTGGAGGTTGTAAATCGAGAGCTTTAGGCTCTGACTCTGAATGCTGGGAAACTACACAACTTAACACTTATGGGAATGTTGATGTTTTTTACCCTATCCTGTAGCTATGACACAACAGGCTGAAATAATGTCATAAAGTCTACAAAGGCAATATAACGCTCTGCAATTAATGGAATCAAAAAAAACAAAATTTCACCTGTATGGCATCCTTATATGAATCATTAGAGATGGTTGTCAAACTTCATTCTTGTCACTGCAATAAACGCTTCTGCAAGCAATTCCATGTTGTGATGTGTTATGTGTGTCAGACTATCATTCAACAATTCTACAATTAATTTAGCAGACGCTTTTATCCAAAGTGACTTACTGTACATCAGAGAGTAAGTTCAACAAGTAAGGATCTAGAGAGGAGGAAACAACATCAGTAAGTGCAAACAAACAGCTTTAAGTCTGATCAGACACACAGGTGCTGACAGGAAGTGACCAGAGGCGCTGACAGGAAGTGACCAGAGGCAGAGCACAACATGGACAGCTGTTCTTGAGACTTCTAATCAGGATCAAAACCATCCTAAAATCGCCATTATCAAACAAAACCATCATCATCAGGCGTTCATGAAAGAGTTGGGTCTTTAGCTTTTTCTAAAAGGTGACACGTTATGAAAAAATCTTCTTCTACAGTGTTTTTGAACATTTACTTGGGTAACCTGAGTGTCTACTGACCCACAAAATTCTCCTTCTGATGTCACAGTGGGATTCTGGTAAAAAAAAAAAACCTCCCCTCCCTTCCCCTGGTATCTCCACCCATGGACTCAACCGCCAGCCTAGAGTTACGGGCTCACTGGCCTTAGCGTTAGGCGCAAGGATAGCATTTGGCTGTGGGCTTGTGTGGCGGCGTAACAGTCACAAACCTCCTCTGGTGCTTGATTCATGTTATATTTTGACCAAAGCACAGCACAGATGCTTCATTTAGACCACAGGGGGACTGTTTGAAAAGATGGAAAAAGGGGGATAATATGTCCTCTCTAAAAGTACAAAAGGACTCTGCAGATCGAATTGAGTTTGGAAGTTGGCTCCACCACGACAGAGGAGAAGATTCCAGTTAGAGACTTATGACCCTGTTGTGAAGGTTGGATCAGACGCCTTTCATCGTCAGAACGTTACATGATGGTACCTTGCTAAAGACAAGATTTGAGCAGATTAAGCAGTGTACCTGATTATAACAGATGTCTCTTTTATGGTGAAACAACAAACGGCATGCCAAAATTTGACCAGAATTTGTACTTCAGCACATTCTACATTGGATTTGTAAGACAGAATCTATAACATTTCCTAAGCACTGTTGGGGAACGAGGGCCCTGACCTTTGAAAATGCTTCCATGTTAGCTTTTAGATCTATATTTCTGCCAATTGAACTTTGAACTAAGATTAGAGTTCCTGTTCAGTCAGCCCAATTATTGATTTTGAGCCAAAGTATAAAGACTTGGGGACCAGCATTTGGGGGAATTACATATCCAACCCCTCTGCTCAGATTTTCTCTACCTTTGCAGCGGCACAGAGAGTACTACAGACTTTCATATCTTCCTCTCTGGCTGAATTAATTAAGAAGTACTTTGTCTTGTTTTCTGCAGGTCAGTGGGACAACATGAGACTTTCACTGGGCTTTTTACTTATTGCCATCTCCATTGTGTTGGCAGGTACTTGTTTTCCTTTCCCTCTAAGGACAATTTCTGGACCACATTGACATTTTCACACTTTGAATTGAATTTGGGTTGAATCATTTGTACCCATTGCGATGCAAACATCCTGAAAAAAGGGACAACTTTCTGAGAGACATTAGCCTGACATTTGAATCATTTCAAACCTTAGATTGATTCTTATTGTTCAGAATCAGAATGTACAGAAACTATCTCAGCAGGTCTGTATCTCTCTGTCTCTCCTACTCATTGACCTCAAACATTCGTCTTCTGTTTCCTATATTTGTTCTCAGGGAGTGTCACCATCAAGACCGTGGTGTTCCCAGGTGAGTCGAGCAACACTTATGTTGAGATGGTCCCTCAGAAACCTCTGAACCTGAGGGCTTTCACTCTGTGCATGCGTGTGGCCACGGAGCTCACTGGGAGGCGTGAAATCATCCTCTTTGCCTACCGGACCAGAGACTTCGATGAGCTGAATGTATGGCGAGAGCTGGACGGCAGGTAGACACTCCGCAAGTGACTACAGTATACTGTAAAGGTCAAAATTCTGACTTTAGAGTCGCTGCCTATTGAAAGCATGAATATGATTTACTGGCTCTGAAAGATGCATGCTAATTACCTTTATTTATTTGTGTTCAGATTGTCTTTCTACCTGAGCGGAGAAGGAGTTATCTTCAAAGTCCCTGAGCTCGGGCCACTGGAGACCCACCTGTGCTTCACCTGGGATTCCGGATCAGGTGCGGCTACCCTCTTCATGGACGGGAGGAGAAGTTCGACTAAAATCTACAAGAAAGGTCACGTTGTGCGCAGCGGTGGAAAGGTTATCCTCGGACAAGATCCAGATTCTTCCTCTCCAAGATCCAGTTTGGAAGTTGGCTCCACCACGACAGAGGAGAAGATTCCAGTTAGAGACTTATGACCCTGTTGTGAAGGTTGGATCAGACGCCTTTCATTGTCATAGCGTTACATGATGGTACCTTGCTAAAGACAAGATTTGAGCAGATTAAGCAGTGTACCTGATTATAACAGATGTCTCTTTTATGGTGAAACAGCAAACGGCATGCCAAAATTTGACCAGAATTTGTACTTCAGCACATTCTACATTGGATTTGTAAGACAGAATCTATAACATTTCCTAAGCACTGTTGGGGAACGAGGGCCCTGACCTTTGAAAATGCTTCCATGTTAGCTTTAAGATCTATATTTCTGCCAATTGAACTTTGAACTAAGATTAGAGTTCCTGTTCAGTCAGCCCAATTATTGATTTTGAGCCAAAGTATAAAGACTTGGGGACCAGCATTTGGGGGAATTACATATCCAACCCCTCTGCTCAGATTTTCTCTACCTTTGCAGCGGCACAGAGAGTACTACAGACTTTCATATCTTCCTCTCTGGCTGAATTAATTAAGAAGTACTTTGTCTTGTTTTCTGCAGGTCAGTGGGACAACATGAGACTTTCACTGGGCTTTTTACTTATTGCCATCTCCATTGTGTTGGCAGGTACTTGTTTTCCTTTCCCTCTAAGGACAATTTCTGGACCACATTGACATTTTCACACTTTGAATTGAATTTGGGTTGAATCATTTGTACCCATTGCGATGCAAACA